TTGTTCAAACTCTCGGGCCACTGAACAGAGACGTGGTAGACTTTGGGAGGAGGAATCAAGCAAAGGGGAGTTTTCTAACAGCGCGTACATTTCGTGAAATAAAAGCATATTGCAAACCAAGTTATTTCAAGTATGAAGAACTTCGGTCACCACAAAACAAAGATACAGAGATTACTGACCAATTTCAACCACTTTATCAGAATATGCAACCTGTTACAAGAAGATGCAACCACCTAAACTTACTATAAAACCTTGGGTCTTAAACTTCATACATAAATAATCGCTAAACGCAACCGAATTCTTCCATAATGACGTGCTCAATTATCATACCAAACAACAAATACAATAGCTACTGTCCACATAACATATCCAAGAAAAACAATAAGGGTGAAGATGAAACCTTCAATAGGAATTGTTGAGAGGCTAAAACAAGGTAATCAGAAGGATAGGAGGAAGAAGAAGACTAAAAACCAGAGAATAGTTTTCTTAGATCTGAGAATCAAGAAGATGAGTAACCGTCTTTTCCATATATTAGCTTAATCACATGAAGTGTTCTGTACAAGTCCATTTATACTATCACTAATCTATATATACAGCTGTAAATATGTACAAAACAGAAGATCTTTCCAGATCCTTCAAGGCAGTTTCCAACTCATGGTTTTCGTGATGAGCACGCTGAGAGCTAACGTGGAATTAACACAAGTGGATGAAGATTGCTGACGATGGATGGCTGGAAGCATCTATGAATTCAATGCAGAAACACAAGGATTACTGCTTGGATCAGTGTCGTTGCTTATGTGTTCATGTAGCTGAGCTGGAGGCGTGTTTCCACAGTTTGAAGACGTGACCATCAGAAGAGGCTTAACTGAAGAAGGTGTGGTTTTGATTTCCTTCACCCCTTCCTCAAGATGAGACTGCCAAAGACTCATCTTGGACATCAAATAATAGAAAGAAGAAGAGGGCGATGACTTGGTGAAAAAATCAGCAATTTGCTCAGCCATAGGAATATGATCAGGAGATATGAAACCACGTTTGAATTCATCTCGGACAACATGGCAATTGACTTCAATGTGTTTAGTCCTTTCATGAAAGACGGGATTTTTGGTAATTTCCAGGGCAGCATTATTGTCACACCAAAATGGAATGGGAAGATGGAGGGGAAGCTGCAAATCCTGAAGAACATATGAGATCCATTTAAGCTCCTTGACAGCAGTCGCCATAGCTCTATATTCTGCTTCAGCAGAAGAGCAGGAAACTGTTGTCTGTTTCTTGGTCTTCCATGAAACGAATGAGGAGCCAAGAAACACACAGTAACCGGTGATGGATCTCCTGGTGGTCTTGCAAGTCGCCCAATCTGCATCAGAGTAAGCAAACAGCTGGAAAGAAGAGGTGCTGGAATAAAACAGGCCACGGTGAGGGCATCCTGCAAGATATCTCAAAATGTGATGTAAAGCTTGCCAATGACTAAGATGGGGACTTTGCACAAACTGACTCAACTGTTATACAGAATGTGTGAGGTCTGGTCGTGTGAAGCTGAGATATAACAAACGTCCCACCAATCTTCTATATTGAGGAGGATCATGAAAGAGTGGAGAAGTGTCTTTGTCTTCTGAGACAAACTTCAGACCAGAAGGAAAAGGAGTAACTGCTCTATTGCAATCAAGCATATTAGTGTCACGCATGATGTCACAAATGTATTTGTGTTGACTAATGTAAATGCCATCAGAAGATCGAGCTATCTCCATGCCCACAAAATACTTGGCAGACCCCAATCCTTGATGGTGAACAAACGATCCAAGTATTGCTTCAGTTTAGTGATCTCAGATAAGGAAGATCCAGTGACCAAAACATCATCTACATAAACAATGAGATACAACACAAAAGTCGGTTGGATCATGAGGAAAAGACAGTGACCAGTGTCAGACTACCTGAAACCATAAGCAACAAGTTTGGCAGTGAACTCAACATTCCACTGACGTGACGCCTGTTTTAATCCATAGAGAGAACGTTTCAGGCGACATACTTGACCAGCAAAAGCCTTTGTATAGCCAGGTGGAGGTTTCATATACACTTCCTCATCAATGAATCCACGTAGAAAGGCATTATTCACATCTAGCTGATGAAGTGGCCACTGTTTGATGGCTGCAACGGCAATGATCAATCTTACTGTAACGTTCTTTGCAACTGGTGAAAAAATTTCACTGTAATCCTCCCATCTCTGGTATCGCTGTGCAGCAGTCATTCCCATCTCTTCGTCTCAAATCCTTGCAACGGACAAGAACTTCATGAACCTTCATCATCATTGCAGGCGGAATTTCAGAACCTCTGACTGAAGTTTGAGAATTATCAAGATCAATATGGATTGCTAGAAGCTTGCTTCCAAGGGTAGGTTCTTTCCTCTTTGAAGCATCAGATGAGAGTGGTCGTAACAATTTCATCAGAAACCGAATGCAACAAGCTAAATCAAGACTACAATCATCATCATAACCCCGAAATAAATATCACAAAACCATTAAACTTAATTACACAGTGTAAACCAAGAATTCAGCACAACTTAATAGGAAAAGGCGAGGGGAACCGAAATGATATAATTATGCAAAAACTGAGTGTGAATGTTTTAAAACTGGAAATAAAGGGTACATATATATTTAGGTGTAAAAGAATAGCACACAGGCATAGAATAACTAATACTCTGACTATAGTTCACATTGCTCTATTTATACAAACAATCTCCAACTACTACTTCATTTCTTCTTTCTTTTTTTTTTGTCTTCTGCTATCTAATAAGAACGCTTCAGGGACAGATCAATAGGATTGGTGGCACCAACAATGATTAAGGATAGATGGATGTTCTGAATTACAGAAAATGCATTTGATAATTAAAAAATGGAAGGAAAAAAAGGGGGGGGGGGGGCGGTGGGGGGAAGAGAAACACAAAAATGGATGAGCTTCTAACCCCCAAAGGACAAAACTCTACTCCCTTACCAAAATTAACCTGATAAGAGTAGCCTTTGAAATTCAAGAAGCAATTGAAACCACTTTCTCAAACATCACTCGCAGCAGTAGAAACCACTAAATACCACACAAAAAATAACGTCCAATTCCAAAAGATTCCTAACAAATCCTAACACAAATACAGAAACCCAAAAAAAAAACTCACTCCCAAAATTCAGCTACAAATCAAGTAATCGCCCTCATGCATATGATAGAATCAATATCAGCTATGAGGAAGATGACTTCTGTTGAAAAAATGGTTCCCATGGTAACTGGAAACAAACCCACTTCGAATATGATACAATAAATAAAACCCATGAAAAAATTTACACAAATCCCTATTGAAATAACAAGGATTTGAGTGTAAATCCAAGTATTAGAAGTGATTGGAAGCTAAATTTAATCTAATAAAAAAACGAGAATAAGAAAGATTACCAGAATAAGGTGTCGCCTTCTACTTTGACGTCGTCGTCATGGGGAGTTTTGCCGTCGCCGTCGCCATCACTGGGGCGCCGCACGGCTAAAGGAGAGAGAGTGAGAAAAGAGGCGCGGATCTAGGGCAAGAGTGAGAGAATACGCGTATTTTCCCTTATATCCATTACCCGTCTTTTTCATAATCCGCCCTCGACCCGGATTCCGACCTGCGAACGGAGACAAAAAAACTCTGTTTCAAAAAATTGAAAAATACCCCGTACCTATTTTATAAAAAGCCTATTTCAAGTCTTCTTTTTTTCAAATTGATGTTTGGAAAAGACTTTCATTATTTTGTCCAAACATATTTTAAACTCTAAAAAGGTTAAAAGTCTTTTTAAGACTCTTGTCCAAATGGAGCCTTGGATACTCCAGTAGTGCCCTATCCAACAAAACAAGGTGTACGTATAAATATTAATGATCTGATATATGTAGGCTAGCAACGAGTCAAGTTGTTCGCAAACTATTCGCAAACAGTTCGGTCAAAATTCGGCTCGAACTCGAAGTTGACCGAGTTCGAGCCGAACTCGAGACTATTTGATTAAGAAACGAGCCGAGTACAAGCTAACATAACATAGACTCGAAAGCTTTTCGAGCCACTCGTGCAGAAATTAGGAATACAGTAATAGTCATAATAAATGTAAGTCACCACCTGTGAAATGCAAATTGATGCCATTAATTTCTCCAGATTTCCAACATTCTAAACTCCATAGCAATCTCCTCGTTTTCTTCTCACAATCCCATCTGACTTCCTATATCGAATTGATTATTCCCCTAATTCAAACAGTCAAAAAAGTAAAAAGAGATTTAAGATTTCATCACCACAAGTATAGTATGGCCGGCCGAGATATAGAGGGCACAATTCTCTCCACAGATCTGCGAGGGATTTTAGAAGATGATGATGTTGGATTGAAGGGGAATTTTAGTGTTTGGATTCTGGTTAGATCTCGGAGGATAAGATGTCTTCTTCTCATCTCTTCTTCTTCTTACATCGCCTTTACTTCTCTCTTTTGTGGGAAAGCAAGGATTTCTCTCTTGTGTGACTCGGAAAGCGAGGATTGATGTTGGTTCTCAATCAGAGAATTATTTAGAGACAATTTGATTGATTGTGGCAAGTCTGAAAATTGAAGAAGTCGGTAAAGAGCTAGCCGACGAACCAAGCTCGAGCTGTTTGTTTAAGGGTCGAGCCAAACTCGAACTGAAAATTCTAGGCTTGATCGAACTCGAGTTTGTTGAAAATAGACCGAGCCGAGCTTCAATCAGGCAAAGTTCGAGCTCGGTTCGATTCGTTGACAGCCCTAGATATATGTTCCCACCAAAACGTTTCCCCGCCAAAAGATAAGACTAAGTCAAGTCGTCGGCAGAAAATGTATTTAGAAACATAAGTCAACGTCATAAATGAAATCTCAACTAAAAAATTTTCCAACTTCAATTACACATCTCCGAAGCAGTATTTAAATTTAGTTAGTTCAACAAGTACTACTATTACCACTGATGAGTGACAAGTTCTTGAAGGCGGGTTAAAAGGAAAAGAGATGGAAGCTTGTCAGATAGTGGGTATGGTGATCTTAGCTGTAGCTGGAGCAATTGTGGTAATTATTACGGTGGCTGTCGCTGTTGGCCGGCTTGGAAGTGAAAAGGAGATGCCACCATCCCATTCCCATCATTCCGATGTCGAGAAACGCCGTCAAAATGCAACGCGACCACGAGGGATAGTAGTGCATTGAGTGACGGGGGAATGATAATCATCATGAGAGTAAATGCTGCCGGTGGAGGCCCGGTCCAAACATTTCAGGGGCTCTAGTGTAAATAATGAAAATGGGCCCTAACAAATTAAACATAGTCTATTTTTTTAATATGGGTTTAAAGAATTTAGTTAAAATGAGTCTAAAACTTATTAATTACTTAAAGCCTACTACACTTTTGATCTAAAATAAATTTTTAGCTCATATATTTTGTCTTTGGATTAAAATAAAAATTTGGCCCATATATCAAATATAACCTTAAACAACACATTAGCAAATTTATGGGCTTTTTTTTGTTGGGGGCCCTGGTGCAAAGCACCGTTTGCACCCCCTCTGGGCCGGCTCTAGTTGTGGTGGAGTCGGAGGTGGTGGGTGCGGAGGAGGATGCCGTGGTTGCGGCGGTGCCTGAAATTTTAAAAAAAGGAAATCATGCAACATGCATGCATGCCTAAGCATAAGCTCAAGCGCATTCTTGAAGGCCCATATAAGCCCACATGTGGTTCCACCTCAAAACCAATTGGCAATGAGGGGAGTAACACATGAGGTATATATGTTGAGTTCAAGAGTCTTCATCCATCCATGTAGGACAATGAAACATGAGGTCATTTCTTTCTTTCGTTCATTTAACACGCCCCTCTCAAGCCCAACGGGCTTGGACGGGTAATTTTATGTTTTTTTTTTTTCAATCCTGCGATCGGTTATTTTCCCGGATAAACCGTCGCCTGCCAAGCCAGTCAAAGTTCAAAGTCAAACCTTGGATTTTTTCCGTGGGTTGGTCAAAGTTTCAAGACCACATGTGGTTCCACCTCAAAACTAAAAGTTTCAAGACCACATGTGGTTCCACCTCAAAACCAATTGGCAATGAAGGGAGTAGCACATGAGGTATATATGTTGAGTTCAAGAGTCTTCATCCATCCATGTGGGACAATGGAGCATGAGGTCATTTCTTTCTTTCATTCATTTAACGCGCCCCTCTCAAACCCAATGGGCTTGGACGGGTAATTTTATGTTTTTTTTTTTAGTCCTGCGATCGGTTATTTTTCCGGATAAATCGTCGTCTGCCGGACCAGTCAAAGTTTAAAGTCAAACCCTGGATTTTTTCCGTGGGTTGGTCAAAGTTTCAAGACCCAATCTGGGTCAATCCACCTCGCCCCACATGTCCCACAGGGACGCGGATTAAAACCCACTCTGATACCATTTTGAAGGCCCAAATATAAACCCACATGTGGTTCCACCTCAAAACCAATTGGCTATGAGGGGAATAGCACATGAAGTATATATGTTGAGTTCAAGAGTCTTCATCCATTCATGTGGAACAATGAAACATGAGGTCATTTCTTTCTTTCATTCATTTAACACGCATCAGTATTTTCATTTTTTTTTTCTCTAAAAAGAAGAAGCAATGTAATGTTTTTCTTTGATTTCTAGCTGCCTAGTAGCGTTTGATTTGCAGTTTTACGCTCAATATGTATGAATTAATGTCACATGTACTGATGTACGTACACTTTTCTTTCTTTCTCCTTTTTATTTATTATTTATTTTGTTAATTTGAAGAGTAAATAGTACTCATTGATTGTCCATCACGCCGTGTGTTTGTGAATTGTTTTCTGTGGACCTTCGAAAATATCTTTTGATTTTGTGAGAGGGAAATTAATCTTCTTTATTATTATGAAAATAAAAAAAAAAATTTGTTTGGCTTTTGTTGTTAAGATTATGTCGTTCCTACACCAATTGAGCAACAAAGATTCTGTAAGTCATGGCATTATAAGAATTTCGTACTCCTGCAACAAAGTTGTGCATAACTGATGCACTAATTTAATGGGATAAATTAATTACTGTCGTGAAAGGCACATCTTCGCAATTGATCCAACATTCCTTCTCATAGAAGGCTATCCTACATTTTATTAAATTTTAGAACATTTCAACAAAGTAAATTAATTCTTTCAAACGGATGGAGAGTATTTGCTAGAGACTACAACTGTCGATTAAACCAACCAATCTATGCTCTATTTGCTAAAAATAGTATTTTATCCTAAACACATAGTTGTTTTTGTTAAAGTCTAAGTACAATAACATGTACTCTTGTTTTGGAATAAATAGAGTACAAACTTGAAACAGAATTATTACGATGATGGAGGATATCACATTAACCTCTTGAAATTGGGGTCAAAATGAAATACGAGCCAAAATAATAAATAATAAATTCGCACAAGTAAAACCTGTTGGGAAATCGAATCTCTCATCGATATCGTGAAAGATCTATCACTTATTTATAAGTAAACCCCCTAAAAAAAAAGATAATGCACATTTCTGGGATAAAGACAAAAAATAAGTAGTGCAACAGATTTTACACGGTAGATCAATATACTATATATGGAGGCGTACAAACTCGGTTTAATTAAATCTAGTTACACCACACAACTGTTATCTTGTTCCAAAATGTTTCCTCCATTCTAAAATAATTATTTCTAGAAAAAATTCACGCTATTTAAGAAACATTTGACTATAGGTAGTAGATAACTAATTATCTTTAATCTACTTATTCAAACAAATACATAGATGTTATTAATTAATGTTGTATTCTTATGAAAGGGTAATTTTGAAAAAAAAAAAAAAACATGCATTATAATGTGAGATTGACACATAATTTAGATTTTTTTTCATTTGTTAAGAGTGACACTTATATCAGAATGAAGAGTGTAAATTATAAGCACAATAAGTAGAATTAATCAATTTCGATGCAACAGTAATTAACAAGTTGCAATGATTACATCTTATTAAGATATACAATTAACTAATTTCAAAATTAATTAAATTCCAAAACCTTTCCCATCCTAAGATCGATGAAGTCAAGTCTTCGAAAGAAAATTTAGAAAGTTGAAGTCAACGTCATGAGTTGAATTTCTACCAAAGTTCTATTGCATTTACCCAACTTATTCAGTTCCACATTCCCAAAGTTGTATATAAATCAAGTAGAAGCAACAATTACTACTGGATTGTGCGTGATAGTTACTAATGAAGATGAAAGCTATTGAGATAGCCGGTATTGTTTTCTTCGCCATCGCTGCGGTCCTTGTAATTTTGCGTATCTTTTGTGTTGCTCTCGGAAGCGGAAAGAAGACGCCGTCTCCGGCCCATCCCGATGTCGAGAAAGGCCGTCCAAATGGAAATACATTGAGAGATGGAGGAATGGTCGTCATGGGAGCAACTGCCGGTGTTGCAGCTGCCACTCTTGCCGTTGCCGCGGCAGCCGCTATCGGAGATTTTGGTGGTGGAGGTGGTTGTGGTGGAGCCGGAGGTGGTGGGTGCGGAGGCGGTTGCGGTGGTGGTTGTGGAGGAGGAGGATGTGGAGGTGGCTGCGGAGGCTGAAATTCTCAAATAAAGATTTATAAGATTAAAGAATCCTGCATGCATGCTTGCTATGCATCTGGAGCTTGCCTACTTTGCAGGTTATTGTAGTGAACGTGATTTATATATTTATAGTGAGATTTCAAGCGTTATCAAAAAAAAATCTTGCATACCATGCACCACATTTTCTTTTTGTCATTAATTTGTATCTCGCTTTAGATTTACAGTCTCACACTCAATATGTGTGAATATCACATCACATGAAGTACTCACTTAACTCACATCAATGCTGCGTATTTGTAAATTGTGTTTTACTTGGACTAATGAAATGTTTGTTCTATTTTGGAAATTTTAATTGGACTGAAAAATAACCCACTCCTTGATTCCTCAATCTCTAGCAGACCTACTAAGAGACTTACGGAAATGTCGCGTCATGCCTAACTGACTAGTACGTATATATGGCGAAGAAATTCACAAAATCAGTAAAATGTTGTTTCGATCTTCACTTCTGCTTCCAAGAAAAGAAAGGCAACTTTTTATTTTTGAAAATCACATAATGGCAACACGAAAGAACCAAATATAAAAATTTTGGATCATTGAACATCTCTCTTTCGGACCATTCGCATAGGAGACGTCGAACATCTGCATAATCGATATCTACAAAATCGATTAACTTATTCCCTGGCTGACTCGCTCTATTTATACAGCACAACGTAAACTAAACTGATTAACTAGGGGTATGGATATGCACTAAAACTTTAGGGATATTAAACCAAATTTTTGTTTTAAATTGTGTAATGTGAAGAACCGAGTGAGTATTTGGTGGACATAAACATTAGAAGAAGAGTAACAAACATGATTTATATATCTTGTTTCCTACTATTCTAAACAACTATAGATCAATATTAATTGAATTATTTTCTCGTGCCTAAAATTTTTGCATAGACAAACATCTCGATAGGTGAGACAGTTAATCACTCTATAATGTAGGGCAAACCACATTTTATCCTTCGAGTTTTGGCAAAATTTACCGTAAATTACGGAAATTTTTGTAATATTGCCATATGCTCCCTTGATATATAATAAACCTACCATTTCTCCCTCATCATACATTCATACTAGTATCATCATCCATTTTGTATAGTAATATATTTGTGGCGTCTTTAATTTTTTTTTTTTTATATATATATACTAGGGGAAAGCCGAAGCTTTAAATGTACAAAAGACAACTCAAGTTAGAGTTGTGCTTGGGCATCTAACAAAATCTTCTCGGAGACTTCAGGGGGCGGGCTAGAGAGAATGTAGAGCCCCGGGTTCTGAGAAAAACCTAAGAGTCGGCCGGTACATTGCCGTCCCGTTTAATAAAGGAGGTTTGCACCGATTATTGATGGTTGTCGATGCAGTTTTTAATTCTAGGTAACAGATTACTACTAGCAAAACTGGAGTCTAGATGAAATTTGGGGGTGTCTAGATGAAATTGGAAATGGACTGGGCTACTTAGCCTACATGGGCCTAACTCCCAGTCACAAACAGAAAAGGGAAATAAGTAGTCGTAGACTAGTAGTAGCTCCGCCGGCTAAAACAGAACAGTGAAACAGAGTGCAGAGAGAATTGGGAGGGGAAACATTTGGAGAGCGAAATTCCATTTGGCCAAAAAAACAAGAGAAAGTGGGAACCCTGATGACAAGATGAAGGCTCGAACAAGAACAGCCATTTTCAGGAACAAGTCTAGGTTGTACTCTCCGAAATAATACTACATATCCTTTTCAAACTTTCAAGCTTGTAGGTAATTGACAGGATTAAAATTTGTTCCATGGGACTTATCTTGACAGGAATTGGAGTGAAATAAAGTTTGGGTTTTGTTCCTGGGATGTTGTATTACCAGCAGAGATTAATAAGAGTGCCCCCAGGGATCAAATGCTATTCTACACAAGTCATTTCTGGTAATTCCAAGATTGCCTACTATGCTAGGGTGGGTCAGATCTACAATGCCCGTGAGGTGTTCGATGAATTGCCCCGTAAAAGTATTTCCTCCTGGAATTCCATTGTCAGCGGCTACTTTAACAATAACCTGCCTGATGAAGCACGCCGCTTATTCGATCGCATGCCGGAGAGAAATTTGGTCTCTTGGAATGGGTTGATATCTGGCTTCATAAGGAATAACATGTTGAGTGAAGCGAGAAAGGTGTTTGACGAAATGCCTGAGAGAAATGTCGTTTCTTGGACTGCTATGGTTAGAGGGTATCTTGATAATGGTTTGGTGGCAGGGGCGGAGGCCCTCTTTTGGAAAATGCCCGAAAGGAACGTGGTTTCTTGGACCGTCATGCTCGGCGGGTTGATTCAAGAGGGTAGGATGGAGGACGCGAAACGTATTTATGAAATGATGCCAGAAAAGGATGTAGTGGCGAGGACGAGTATGATTGGTGGGCTATGTCAAGAGGGTTTGTTGGATGAGGCTAGGGAGCTTTTCGATAGTATGCCACGTCGAAATGTCTTTTCTTGGACTGCAATGATCTCGGGTTATGCACATAATGGGAAGGTGGATTTAGGTCGGAAACTTTTTGAGGTCATGCCCGAGAAGAATGAGGTCTCTTGGAGTGCAATTTTAATGGGATACATCAATAATGGGAGGATTCAAGAGGCTTTGGAGCTTTTCGAGTCGATGCCTTCTCAACCAATCTTTGCTTGTAATTCAATGATACTCGGTCTTGGTCAAACTGGGGATGTCAAAGGAGCGAGGAGGATATTTGATTCGATGAGAAGTAAGGATGATGCCACGTGGAGCGCCATGGTTAAGGTTTACGAAAGAAAAGGGTTCGAATTGGATGCACTTGATATTTTCCGCTCCATGCAGTGGCAAAGAGTCAAACTGAACTTCCCTTCATTAATAAGTGTTCTTACAGTTTGCGCTAGTCTTGCGAGTCTCGACCATGGCAGGCAGATTCATGCTAATTTGCTAAGATCCAACTTCGAGGATGATGTGTATTGTTCCTCAGTATTGATCACCATGTATATGAAATGCGGTGACCTAATGAAAGCAAAACAAGTTTTCGACAGATTTTCTGCCAAGGATGTAGTCATGTGGAATGCTATTATAACAGGTTGCGCCCAACATGGCCTCGCTGAAGAAACCTTGAAACTTTTTCATGATATGTTGTCACAAGGATATGAACCGGATAATGTTACATTCATTGGGGTGCTCTCGGCTTGCAGTTACACCGGAAATATCAAAGAAGGGAAAGAAATCTTTGAGGCTATGAGGTCAAGATATTTGGTTGAGCCCAGTAATGAACATTATGCCTGCATGGTTGATATGCTTGGCAGAGCTGGCCGATTGAGTGAGGCGATGGATATGATCAACAATATGCCCATGGAACCTGATGCAATTATATGGGGCTCTTTCATGGGATCATGTAGGAACCACATGAACCAGGATCTGGCTGAATTAGCAGCAAGAAAGCTCTTACAGCTCGAGCCAGAAAACGCCGGCCCTTACATTTTGCTTTCTAACATTTTCGCATCCAAAGGCAAATGGCGTGATGTTGGCAAACTGAGGAAAAACATGCGTTTGAGGAAGGTCAGTAAGTCACCCGGTTGTAGCTGGATAGAGTTTGACAAGAAAGTGCACATGTTCACTGGTGGAGAGAATACGCCACACCCCGAGCACCAATTGCTTATTAAGAAGTTAGAGGAATTAAGCCCGTTGATAAAGGAAGCAGGATATGTCCCCGATGGAAGCTTTGTTTTGCACGATCTAGACGACGAAGAGAAGGCACGAAGCTTAGGGCATCACAGCGAGAAGCTAGCTGTTGCATATGGACTGTTGAAGTTGCCGGAAGGTGCTCCAATCAGAGTGATGAAAAACCTTCGTGTTTGCGGCGACTGCCATGCTGCTATAAAGCTGATCTCGAAGGTCACTGGACGATATATCATCTTGAGAGATGCAAATAGATTTCATCACTTTAAAGACGGCATATGTTCTTGCAACGACTACTGGTGAATTGAACAACCCTTTTTATACCTTCTAAACACAACTTAATTCATTTTTGTTTCGATTTAGAACTCTCTCGGTCTTGTACCTTTTCTTCGATCTAGTAATGAACATCTAGCACAACCAAAAAGATTGTATCAGTGAACATTTTAAGTTCATCACATTAATATTGTAAGGAGATCGGAATAGGACGAAACATAGGCATGTTTAAAAATCTGGATTTCCGATGCAAGAAGCACAAAAACAGAAGTTTTCCATCAGCAGCAGCAGAAACGAAGCCGGAGTTCCAAGCACTTCTGATCCGAATCCTGGAAGCAGCTCAGCCGACCCCTTGTCAGCTATTATCCAGCCACATTCAATTGCAGACAGTATGAAGTCATTTTTTCCTGTTAGTCCAACAGGAAATTCATTGATGTCGGAACATTAAGTTATAAATGCAAGCTTAATGAAGGTGCCGATTGGTACAAGCCTGATGTCTATTTAATTTAAGTACAAATCTAAGCGTTCGGTGATGGATAATCTTTTGTAGAAAATGGGGAGAAAAACTGAGTTCATTTTGCTTCATCTCCTTGTTCAACCTTTTTGCTCAATTTTGATATGTACAAATTCTTGTTTTGTTTCTTTTTCTTTCATTTCCTGTAGTCATCTTGCGTACTAGCAATTGTGTTACATTAAATTTTTTGTGTCCTTTTCGATATGGTCCACATTTACGTTGAATTGTATTTGTTTATGTGTACCTTTTTTTTCAGTCAAATGGAAGTATCTAATGATAGGTTTTATTCCCTATTTTACAAACAATTGAAATGAAACATACTTGAAAAAAAAAAAAAAGCAGCATATTTAACTAGTACGTTGATCAAGAATGATATTGTTAGTCGTTGATCAAGAATGATAATTATTCGTTCATTCTATCTTGCTACTACAATCATGAAACTAATTGATATATTATACACTGAAATAGATCAATTTTTACAAATTTCAATAATTTGACATAGGTTCTTGCCAGAGACTACCATGAGGAACAAGGTCGTGATCCTCAAATGAAACTCCATTGAAATGCTCAAAATAATAGTGATCTCGGTGATCATTCCCAAATTTTGATATTCCATTTGAAGTACTATCCATCTCATCTCCACATTGATCCATGCACCAACTAGTATTGACATCCATCTCAATGATGTCCATCCAACTGCAACCTAACTCATGATGCTCACTATTATACTGCTGCGTCAAAGCATAATAGCCCTCCACCTCTTCATGATGATGATTGAACGGATGATCATTATTCATCCAATTAGTAGTAGTGGAGTTGCTGTCCACCATATACTGATTAATCTCAGCTTCGAGGGATCTCATAACATTTGATAATTTCTCATTATCAAGGAAGTGATCATCCTGTTCTTCAACTTGTGAATCCTCAAGAAATGACATTAGGAGGGCACCATCTATTTGGGAGAGCTCAAAGTTATTGCCGAACTGATCATTTTGGCTATAGATGCACTCCATATATAATTTGAATATATATTTGAGTAAGAAATCAAATTATACAACACTAATTTCCAAAGTTGAAAGAAGAGAAGATATGGTGGAAGGTAATGGCTGTTGGTGCAAAAGCAAGCTCTTTATATAGGGAACTTCCAACTCTGTTTTTTTTTAAAAAAAAAAAATTGACTAGGAAAAAAAAAATATAGAAAAAAATCGTTTGTCATAATCCATATCCACCTTATTATAAGAATATGGTTACTGGTTGTCCAGCACAAGCCCACGTGGTGAGATTATTCTCATAAACTTCCTAATCAATCAAAGGGGGAAGAAAAGTTTCAAGGAGCAACAACTATAAGTGAGATAATAATACATAATTACATTTTTAAAAAAAAGTAATACATAATTAGTGCAATAAGTGAGATAAAAGAGAAAGTGATCTCATTAATTTAGTGAGCTAGCAACATCAAAAATTAGATGGAAACAAACATGATAAACGGTCCCAAATTTTGTCACGAAATCACAAACAAGCTAATGAGAAATGACCTAGACCCACCAATGATCTGATGTTGGAAATAAAATTAACAGGGACAACCCACCATGGATGGTGCAGAATATTAGTTGTATGTATTCGTCTACCATCGAATAAGGGCTTTTTTCGGTGCCAAAAGATACCACAAGAGAGACACCAACAAAGAGGGACAATATCTTTTGAGATTGATTTTGATGTTGATCAATATACTATAAAGGTTTGGTTGGACAGAGAGCATCATACGGCAACCATCTTCAATATATAATAATCTAATTAAAATAATACGTACAGAATATTGTGTGTGCAAATGAATTACAATTAGTGCCAAATTGTCCTTCTAAAAATGTTTCCGATGTGGGATTGTTGGATATCACAACTTAAAAAGAACATTCCAAGAAGTTCATAGATACGTATGTTCAATGTTTGAGCTGTTTTGAGTGAGTGGAACTTCCTCCCGATCTGCAAAGATTAGACACTTTGCCGAGTTTGAGTAAATTAATAATCTTTGAGCGATGCTTGGTAAAAGCGTATAACGTTGCTCCACTTTCAACGACAATATGGTGTTATGTATCAAGCAATCCCTGTTTAGATATCTCAATGTCTATATTACTTTTCGGGTTACATTTTATGTGATACTTTCTTTAATTGAATAGATATTTTGTAACTAACACCTCATAAATATAATGATACATATATCCTGTAGTTAAAATAATTAGGCAAGTGCAACATAATTTTCTCTTTGAAAAAAGTTTCTATCATCAACTCTATAATGATTAATTTTTTTCATCAGGTTTGAGTTTGACCACAGCCAGCAACTAGATTTGGTGCACATGTGTGCCACCAAGAAATGATGGTGAATGTACCTAAAATTCATGGCAAATTATATCATCGACCATGACATCTTACAATGTGAGCCAAAACGGGAGGTGTTGTTCACTCTCTCAACAAACAAGTGATATTTTTTTTATAATTATCTTAAATTTTATTTTTATTAATATTTATCTAATCAAAATACTTAAATATTCTCTCTCATCATCTTCAGTGTCCTTCAATTTTCTCATTTAAAATTCGAACAAATCCATCTTCTCAGCCACCACCTCCACCATGATTAACACCGTCCACTGTAATTGGATCAACACCTCTTCAATCCAACTTATTTGAAAATTGTTATGAACATCTAACATTATTTATATGAAGAATTTAAGAGACAAGTATGAAGGTTGATCTTGTCAAATATTAGCATGTCGATCAATGTATGAATATTGCTACAAATTAATAAATATAAACATCTAAGAAACTTATAAACATAAGTAAAATAAAAAAGAAATGCATAAGGAACTTGTTCAATTAATAACCATGTATGAACACAACGTTATTAATGTATGAAAACAACGTTGTTAATGTATGAACGCAAGGGGGAAAATAAAGATGCAACATCAATATGACATTTCAATAATATTATGAACATTAACAAAATAATATATGAAAATTTTCACAAAAAAATATGAACATGAGACTATCGATTGACATTTAGAATAAAAACTGAGAAAACATTAAAAGATCGATAGCAAAGAGCAATTATATTCATCATTAAACAAAGATACTATTTTCTCAAGTATCAAAACAAAATATAGGCTTTGATAATTATTTTTTTTATAAAAAAGGCCTTAATTAATAAATCTATTAGTCAAATTTTTATGAAAATATGTACATAGCAACTCTAAATAACACCACTACAAAAGCTTCAGAGGTAAAAGCATTTCTAAATATCCTAAGGGCAATAATCAATTACAGTACATAAAAAAAAAATCTAAGAAATTGTGATTAACGGTTGAACACATAAATCAAAAAGCATTCAGACTAAAAAAAAAAAGAGAGAGAGAAAAGGAAAAAATTTCTAATATATTTATAATTTCAGCAATAAGGAGGTCTTTTATTCTCCTGAACCAAGAAATTAATTTCAGCAAATACATTCTTGTGAAAGGCAAAAATCATGAACAAAAAGTGATCATAGTATGAACATTATTCACTAAATATATGAACTTTAAGATATCAATTTAAAGATTGGCATCATGATAGGGGAATTCATTAAAACAAAATTATGAACAAAATCGAACCATATTATGAACATTTTAGTCAGTATGTATGAACTTCAAACTATCAATTGAAGTTGGTTATCAAGATTGAACATACAATTAAAATTAAAACAAATAGGAAAAAAGAAAAGAACAAAAATGTGTATACAAGTGTATGAAATATTAAATCACAATACTATTTTTCAAAAAATGTCACAAATACAAATAGATTCTACTTGATTCAATAAAAATGGGGAAAAAAAAAAGAGAGAACATTTTCTTGCTTTCTTTCATTATTTTCGCATAACAACATCAAGAAGAGTGATTGAGGCAATGACAATGTTATTAAGTATGAACTTCAAAAATATCAATTTAAAGATTGTATAAATAATCACTCAAACCATCAGGGAAAAACATTCAATGCCGACCGAAGATAGATTTATGAGAAAATAACTGTTATTAGCTTATAGCCACAGATTGAAACAATAATGGGAAAAAAAATCTTTGTTTCTTCTATTCTCAATTGATTGATTTGACGATGCCAGTACGGGTGATTCTTGATGGTGATGAATTCTAGTGATTTTTTTTCGACAATGAATTTTTTTTTTTTTTTTTCAGATGAGACAGATTCTCTGATGAGGGAAGAGCATGGTGAAAAATGAGAAAGATTAAATGTTTGATCTTTTGATGGATATATATATATATATATATATATTAATTATTATGAAAAATAGAGTTTGAATTAGAGAAAAATTCTCTTTAAAATCTTATCTCATTTCTTTATTTTATCGTAGAATATAGGAATAACAAGCTTGTACCTACACACTTGGGTTCACATTGCAAGATGAACTATGGTCTATTATATAAGAATTGAAAATTCATGTGACATTATCCACCATCCCCCTTATCTCTATTGCTGGTCCTCCATTTTTCATTAATCACTAATAATGATGTTAATTGCTGTATAAAATACAGGCCTGCCCTTTGCAGATCTTCAGAAAAAATAGGCCCTCTGTGACTTGCATGGGTCAACTTCAAATTTCTAGTGCTGTTTAATCGGCCAGAATTCGATTTTGGGTTATTAAGACAAGTCTATATGATTAAAATTCAACTTGTATACTTTTCACTGGACCGTGAGCCACTTAACTAAATTGGCACGACATCAATTTGCTGATCACTCAACCTCGAACGTATCCTCCGTTAACAAAATATGGTGACAGATGTCTTAACAAAATTTGGCTTCTCTCATCCTTTAAGTAGACATTCTCAGGGGCAGATGTACATTGAGGCTCGGGTACGACTGTGTAATAAAAACCCCATATTAATAGATTAATCCTAGAACACACACTTTCTTCTATTCAATCGTTGCATTCTCATGGATACGGCTGTGTAATAAATACTCTCTTTGTCTCATATTAATAATATTATTATACCGTGAAACAATATGAACAACTTTTTTCTCCAAAATGGGAAAACAATGTTTGCTTGATGAACCGGACGATATAACTTTTGATTGCATAATTTGAATTAGGTTTCACTAATGTTGTGCCATGCAGATAGCTATTTGTATATAGTTCATGTTGGCAATCCTCTAATCAAATTTTTAATTACATAATGGTAGTAGGAATTTCATAATCCATCATAAAATGCTCTTTTTCAGGACTTCTTTTCCTCTCTCTTAAGATGTAAGAAATTGCTGTTCTTCTTGGTAGAGTCTTGGTTTTTCCATTCTATTCCCCCCAAAGTCATCATCAAACTTTTTCCACGAAAAAAGAATCACAGAGTAAAAAAACAGATATGGGGTATAAAGGCCTAACTTTCACAAAAACTATACTGAGTATGCTTTTTTTCATCTTTTTAAACTTAATTAATCAATCTTAATATTGTTAAACAAATGGTAGGGGAGGAGAGTCTTTTACAGCCTAGCCCAAAAGGAGTAGCTTTATGTTCTTTAGTTCCTTAATTACCAGTTAAAACTTTGCATGCATGCACGGCATCTAGCTAGTGTGTGACTATGTGCTACAAGTATATGTTTAAATCTAAAAATCACAGCATTGCCTTTTCTAGTCAACAAAGTTTCCTTAATTTTGATGGGAATATGTATTAGAGTCTGATTATGTAACAAATTCTAGATTGTATAGTTGTCATTTGTTGTAACAAATATACAGTTGTATGGATAAAGTTGTTAGAGTAACTATAGGTGGTAAGTTGTAGATTACCTTAGAAACTCTATAAGTAGTTTACAGAATGTAAACGTCTGAGGTATGATTCCAACTATGAATAGAATCATGAACTCCATTTCTGACTTCTTTCATATTTAATATCTATGATGGTATCAGAAGTTATACATTCCGCAATTCCTTTTTAGATCGACTGTTCTCAATCTTCCATCGATCTTCTCCTTCTTTTGTTATTAT